ATCACGGGTATCGAAACCCGGATTCTAGCGTTGTAAGTCCGCAGATATACCACTGTGCCACCAATCGGTCAGTTAAAAGTAGCTCAAGAATTGGCGGTGGATGCTTTTGCATAGCCTACCAGTTCAAAATTAGGAATGGCTTTGCGCAGATAACCCTTTGAGTAGCTTTGCCGAATTTTTTGAAACAAAAACAAAAATTTATTAAGCTTAATAAATGTTTTACAGTCTTCTATTATGTGGTTACCTTTATTAAATAAATGTAGTCACTTTTATTTAAAACTGTAATATCATTACTTAAATTCAACCCTATTATAGTTAACTAAGTAGAGTTTTTAAGTTTATTAAGTACGTTATATATGTGGGTGTTTTTCTTAGATTACAGAGGATTGAGTACGTTATACTAATACGATTTTGAATATGCAAATTAGCAAGTCTTGTGACAACCACAGCCGATATAACAACACATGTCAGAACTATATTTTGATATTGTTTGGCTGTTCGTAGGTAGCATGATACTACCGAAAATTCATCGCTCTTCACGACACAAAATATTCATACATTCAGATTATATAGATGTGTTCACCTCGAATATTTAGAATAACCAAAACGGAGATATCCCTTGTACTTAATAGGATTGAAAACAAAGGAATGTGGATCAGTTTGGTACCCAAGGGTCATCTGGAAAGAGACCTCTAACAAGTCGTACCCCAGTCGTGGTAATGAAAATGTGAGAATTCATGATAACAAAGATCAGTGGCAAAAGCCGTGCACGTGGCCCACAGACACAACATAATCAAGAAAAGCGATACAAGTCACGTGTACACAAGTTGTTTCAATTGTATATCTCTCCAACCATCGCATACCTCAAGCACCTGGAAAATAAAATAGGTATTTACACTATTCCATCCAAATACATACCAGACAAGTCGCCTGTCAATTTCTATGCAATCGGACAGTTCAAACAGACGTTGGAAAATCGTCGTCTTTTTACACTATATTGCTTATGGAAAGCAGGCAGAGAACAGTGGTATGCGTTTGACATGACAACCTTACGACAGAGCCTTTCCAATAGAAACTACGCTGCAATGCTATTGTAAAGATTCAGGCAATCAGACAGATCATGACCGGGCATTATGGCATGGATTGGAATGACATGATTAGGCTCCAAAATCGTTTTAATATAACGTACGCAACCTCCGTATACGAGCCACGCACTATTGCTCTTTTTTTCAATATCATTAAGATAATAAGAAGACAAGTTAGTGATAACACCGGGTTTGTTAATAAATGAACTTCCAAGCTGAATGGGCGAAGGTGATTTAGTTTCTAACGTTTTTGGAAAGTTTGTCTCCCATGTATCTTAAATAAAGTTTGACTAATAGATTTCATATTTTGGAAATCTAAGCAGTATGTTTTATGGTTAGAAGGTTATAACCGCATAAAATAAATCATCTGTCTTATGGATTAAATCCTAAGTTCACCCTTTTGTTTCAACTAACTTCAATGCGGTTTGGCACGGCACTAAACCATTTGATTATGTGATAATATCAGTGGAAACTTTGGAGGAAAACTTGGGTATATGGCAAAAAATTAATAAATTATTACACCTAATATTTTGTTTGCTAAACATTTTATACGGGAATTTACAGAATCCAACACAGATATACACCTATTTTTTTAATTGATTATTTATTTGTTATGAATTTTGCGCAAAGCTACACGAGGGCTATCTGCGCTAGCCGTCCCTAATTTAGCAGTGAAAGACTAGATAGAAGGCAACTAGTCATCATCACCCACCGCCAACCCTTGGGCTACTCTTTTATCAACGAATAGTGAGGTTGACCGTCACATTGTAACGCCCCCACGGCTGAAAGGGCGAGCATGTTTTGTGGGACGGGGATTCGAACCCGCGACCCGCAGATTGTGAGTCGAGCGCCCTAACCACCTGGCCATGCTAGGCCTTTTATTTCGTTCTTAATTGAACACTGTAACATAAAAAATACTCACATAAACTTCTCTCATGGATTTGAACATCGTGCCCATATCAAAGTACAACAACCTATCAACTATCGCCTTCTGTTTGGGATCCTTAGGATATAGGTAGCTGTCAGGAGCGTACTTATTCACCATGTACTGCATGATCGCCCGGCTGTTGCATAAAAAATCTTTCATTAAGTTCAAATACTTCTGTTCTGTTTACAAAAATTTTCATATCTAAAACAAATATATTAATTGTACACCGAATATTGTAACTTATTGTAATGAAGATAATAATTATTAATTGAAATTGCAATACTTTCCCTAAATGAGCAACTCCCTTTCTTCTTCAATTCGACTAATAATTCACAAAATCATTTTAAGTGCTTGCTACGAGTACACTCGGCAGAGACCTAATGCGATGTGTTTTAGATAGCCACCTGGCGGTAGAGCTTACCTATGCCATTAAACAGCTTGGACAAGTAAATGTATAAACGACTAAATATGTTTTTTTTGAAGACTTATGTCTTTAAAATTAAATATATTATGTGGCATGTTCCACGTTAATTTTTTTTTATCACGATGTTTTTGAAGTAGTGTTAGAATTCTATTTGATTTAGAAGTGTTTTGCTTATACTTAATTCTCTTGGATTTCAGATTGTGGTATTTTGCTTTAAGCTTGGTTTTTCTCCCAGAGATATTTGACAACTTTATTCTACGGTCGTAATAAATAATATCTTAATATCCTCGCTTTAAAACTTTCTAAATGACTTTTTAAAATCTTTTGCAGACTGGATATATATAATTGATTAACTTTATCTTCTACTGAAAATTAAAACATAAAAAAATTTAAACCAAGGAAGGCGTAGTTCCTGTACTGTGTTAAGTTTTAAACATTAAGGTGGGTTCGATTGATTTGATTTTAACATAAATGGGGAAGCTATCCACTGATGGCGCGAAAGATGATGGGTACCCCCTAGTTCCATCTAGGGTGGCTGGGGAGGTATCCCAGCCTCCGACTCATTTTAGGCATTTGAAAACCCTATAAGACGATAGGAATTTAAATTTTTTTATTAATTTAAGTTGTAAAAATATTCGTTATTTATGAACTATAAAATATCATCTTAATCATGGAATACAATTTACAAATCCCCCCCCTTTCTCCTCTAAAATTGCAAAACGAAATCTATATATGTCTCCCTCACTCAGCATTACCTCATCAAACTCACACAATTAAATACACTATTTGTTGATAATGTATTTTTTAACGCTGAACCAATTACAGAACGCGTTACCATAACTTGGAAATACCATAAATATGCAGTTAGCAGTAATGGACTTAACATTTATGTATGGCATTTTTGCTTACAACGCTGTTTTTACTGTCTGATTAAAACAATATGATGTTCTGCTGGTTTTTAAACTAATTTTAGCCTTATGTTTTAAATCATATGACGCAATAAATTGTTTGACGTTTCTATGACAGTGATGATATCTTTTTAATAATCAGGATCAATTTATACTAACCTAGTGTTCGCGACTAAAAACAATTCACTGGGTAATTAATTATTTAGTGATAGTCTTCAGATAGTTACTTATTAAATGAGAACTGCTTGAAAGTAACATTCACTGCCGTATTAATTCTTCGCACAGCAATTGACTAGACAATGATTTAAAATATTAGATCGTCAAGAAATTAATGTCGCTTTTTTAGATGAAAAAACCCGAACTTATATATATATATATATATATATATATATAATAT